GTGTGTGGGAGAGGGCAGAACACTTGCTACAGTCTCTTAATCCTACGTCAAGCATCTGCATTCCCTGTCTCCTATTTGGGGCCTGACTGAGTCTTTAGCATCCATGGAATCACTGCTGACTGCAAAAAACCCGAGGTTGAGCTGAAATTTCCTAAGCTGAAGTTTCAAGTATTTAAAGACAATGAATTCTTGCATCAAGAAGTAGGAAAGGTAGGATGATAAGGTCTTGGGAGAGTAGATGCAATTGCAGTCACGTATTGGAAGAGGTCAGATACAGTACTTTTACTATGCCTACTGTGCTGGCAGGGATGCATCTCAATAGATCCCTTCCATCTTTTGAGCTTATTTGGGAATAGAGATCCGTGCAACTGGTCTCAGCCATTGGGTCTCGTTGCTATTTAGAGGGGGTGGGGATAGAAATGGCTGGGGAGAAGAATGGACATGAAGTACAAAGTGGAAAGTTCCATATACATGGACAGCAAGAACTGAGAGGTAGGCTGAGAAAATAACATCCAGAGCTAGTACAAGATCCCTATGGATGATATTAATGCCACTCCCTTTGGTGCAGGAGTTCCTGACCCCTGAGCAGCGGCAATTTGCTGTCCGGGGAGTTCCTACCTTGCTGGAGGTTTCGGGATTCTCCTATTTCTATGGTGCCTTCATGGTGGGGCCTCAGTTCTCCATGACAGACTATCAGAAACTGGCAAGGGGTGAGATGACTGACGTTCAAGGCCAGAGACCCAATAGGTAATAAAAAGCCACTTAGCTCCTCACCTTCCTAAGATCCCAGAATGCTGAATCCCCCACGTGTTCCCTGCAGCAGAGTGCCTTCTTACCTGGACATTGAAGTACTGTGACCAAAAGTGATTTGTAAGACAAGGCAGTCTTTCAAAAGTTGCTCGTAACTCTCTGCTTAATTTACTAGCATTGTTCCAGGGCGTGAACATCAACAACCATTTGACATCTTTAGTACAGACTCAGTCTCAATCTGGTAATGTTAGCAGCCCAGCTTCCAAATGGAGGCATCTGCTGCAGTGGAACGTGGTGACTCCCTGTTGCTATCTCCCCTACCTCCTCTTCTTCACATCTGTTTTTAAAATTGTGAGTTTGACGGACTCTTTCCAAGGCTTTTCTTTGACTTTCATATTTTTCTTTCACAGTTTTGTGCCAGCTCTCAAGCGCCTGAGTTTGGGTCTCTTGTTTCTAGTAACCTATACCTTGTCAAGCCTGTACGTCTCTGATGAATACCTCATCTCAGATGATTATATGGTAATATGATTAATTTGGCAGTTCTGGGCTGTGGAAGAATTCCACTTCTCCGGTGGGCACTGGGTCTACAAGAGTGGATTTTATTTTTTTTTCTTCAGTTTTTCCTCAATTTAAAAATAAAGAGCAACTAGTTATAAGCCTTTCCACAACTGATTTGGCTTTACTGCCTGTCCTGTGGATTCCATTTGATGCAGAACAGGAATGTGTTAAGCTGAACTGAACAAAATAAAAACTTTTACAAATAGAGAATTAATCTTAGATGCTACTGTTTTTGTAAACCTAACAGGTGTGTTTTGTGACCTTTTAATGACCCTGCATTTAAGCATTACATGCAAAGAACTTCACTAGAGTAACTTGCAAGGCTCACCAGAATCTTTGAGGTTCTTAGAAAACTCATTAACAATTAATTCCTACCTGCAGATTATCAGTGTTTCTGTGTCAGTATGAATAAATGAGGGAGTAAGTTCTGCAATGATTATGCTAATCCCAGAGTCTTCCCAAAGTACCTGTTTCAATACAGCCAAATATTACCAAAGGAAGGAGAATGATGTATAAATTTGCATAAGCCAATAGCCTGGCAGTACAGTCCATATAGCAGTCTCAACACATATATCAGATTAAAATGAAAGACAGTGATGAGATCTCATCTACCTTGTCTCATTATTGCCACTCAACTCCGGGGTTTATTTTTATTCTATTTCACTCTTATCTCTGCAGGAGAAGCCTTTCTGGTTCCGTTGTGGTTACATATTGATCTGGGGCAAAATTATACTCTACAAATACGTAACTTGCTGGCTTGTTACGGTGAGTCTAGATGTCATTCCAGAAACAAAAGACAAATGAACAAAGGTTGCACCTTTGCAGCTACTTAGTATGCTCTTGAATATAGCATTAAATGGAAGTAATCCAAATATCTGGGGATCAGTGCAGGTCAGTTTAGCTTGCTTTAAGTTAGCAAAGGCTAGCTAACTAAAAAGCAGGCAGTTTTTTATCCATTTGTTCCATCTGCAGTGGTGCTCTCCACTCAAGAAAGTTAGAGCTTCCACAGCTCTGCCTTTCCAGAAAAAAAAAAAAAGGCAATTTTTTCCTCTCATCTTTCTTGCTTTCTTGTGAATCTTTTTTCCATAGGAAGGTGTCTGCATCCTTGTTGGCCTGGGGTACAATGGGAAGGACCAGAGCGGAAAGCCTTTGTGGGATGCCTGTGCCAACATGAAGGTCTGGCTGTATGAGACAACACCTTTGTTCACAGGGACCATCGCTTCTTTCAACATCAACACCAATGCTTGGGTGGCCCGGTGAGCAGGACAAAATTCCCCTTCTATAATGTGTCGGTCACGTCGGTGGCAACAGAACCAAGATCCTAGGCTGAGAGGCAGTATTAGAGGAAGAATCTGCCAGTTTTCAGTTCCTACACTTTTTCTTCCACATTCTGCTGCTGTGCCATTTGAAACAGGTTACTGGCTTAGACCGATCTTTTCATTCAATTTAAAAGACCAATTCATTAATATAGGCAAGCAGCTGATGGCAGCAGGAGGGCAGAGACTAGAATGGGACCACAGCGAGCCTGGTCAAACAGCCACAGAACTGCTCTAACAGCTGGTTCCTACGTCATGCCTCTCGATGCTCCCTATGCAATGACTTAACCGGGTTTTGGTTCAGCACTTGCTGGGATACACAGCTGAGTTGTAAAATACTATTTTTGTGTGCGTTGTCAGCTGAGTCACTTCTCCCCATTAGCTGGGACGTCTTTAAGACAAGGGCTGAGGTACATTTTGCCCTTGTAAGGGGAACTCTCTTGCACTCTCTGGCAGGGTGTGCAAAGGACCGTATGGTCCTCTGGGCCCTGCATCTCTGATGTGGAGAGGGGAGGAGAGACAATAAACTAGAAGCACTTTTGAGTTTGTTTCTTTTCTGCTCTAGCTACATCTTCAAGCGTCTGAAGTTCCTGGGTAACAAACTGCTGTCACAGGCACTGGCCCTGTTCTTCCTGGCCATTTGGCACGGGCTGCACTCTGGCTACCTGGTGTGCTTTCAAATGGAGTTGCTTATAGTCATCGTTGAAAGACAGGTGCGCTTTGTCTGACTTAACCAGAATGGGGTGGCCTGCATTAGCCTTTCCCCAAGAGTCTGGAAACTGCCACACTGAAGGCTTTGCTTGGATTAAATGTAAAAAATAGCTGCTTGCTTTGGAATTGGTTTTCAAACATGATACAGTTCTGTTCTCAAGAGTTCAGTAGGTTGCTAGCTTCTGCATGGGCAAGCCATGAATTTATCGTAGAAGCTGACAGGAAGAAAAGCGGAGGACTTGGCATACGAGTAGAGGGCAGCTGAAGAGCTTGGCAGCTGGAAAGGTTGGAGGACAAGCACATGAGCTGAATGTCTCTACTAAATCTCCCAGTACTGAGAGAGCAATATTCCATATTTGTACTGTGGGGTTTTTTAATTAAAACTGTGAGGATGGGGTACTTTTAGCTACTTTTTTTTAGACTGCTTACTAAAATTCATTTTACACAGCTGGATAGAAAACTTTGGCCCCAGAGCCTGCATATATAGTCATAGGACATCCAACTGACAAGAATTTTTTTTTTTTTCTTTAAATTAGGTCATAAACCTTGTTCGGGACAGTCCTCCCCTAAGCACTTTGGCCTCCATCACTGCCTTGCAGCCCATCTTCTATGTGCTACAGCAGGCTAACCACTGGATGTTTATGGGTTACTCTCTGGTGCCATTTTGCCTTTTCACCTGGGACAAATGGATGAAGGTATTTAGTAGTCACAAACAGACACCTCATGCAACTAACCCTTTTCTCTCCAGCCCGTCTCATATCAGCTGCTGGCTGATCCTTAACCCTGCCTTTTCTCTTCACAGGTGTACAGGTCTATTTATTTCCTTGGCCACGTGTTGTTCCTCACCTTACTATTGGTGTTGCCTTACATTCGCAGATTAATTGTGCCACGAAAAGAAAAACTAAAGAAAGCAGAATAACAGCCAAAAGGTAAGGCTGCACTAGGTAAAGCAAATCCCACACTTGGGGTAGGAGGGGAAGCAGGGCAGCAGTGTTAAATCCCAAGGTGAAAAGCAAACATAAAAATCAACCAAAACAACTCTAGCACTTTTCTTTTTCAGATTGTACCACCCGTGCATTTGTAGGAGTTGACTTAACACTCCGGAAGCAAAGCATCACCTGCCAAGTTTGCTGTCTTGAAGTATGACTTTTTTCAATGTGAGGAGGGGGAAAGAGAAAGCACAGGGTCAGGGACCCAAAAGGAGGGGAATGGAGTAAGCTTCCTTCCAGACCCTCCACCTTCTGTATGTTGCCTTATCTCTCTGCCACCCTCCAGTGGACACTCGCCTCTCTCTGCTGATATCAGATGATTGTAAAACACTCAACGCAGGCACTGTATTGGATTGGAGCCACCCTCTGACTTTTCTACGTTTGTCATCCAAGATAAAAATTGCTCCTGGTCTTTTTTTTTTTCATATCGGCTTCACCTCCTTTCCTCTTGGGTGCCTCAGTGTGGGAGCATCAACTGTCACACACTCCCAAGCAAAGTGATGCCACAGGACCGAGTAACTTCAGCTGCAGGGCAAGCAGGGCACAGCTAAGAATTTCAGTTCCATGACTGTAAAACCACAACAATGACAAATTTGGGCTGAGTCCCTGCTATAAAGGGATCAAGCCTGCCCACATATTAAACACAAGAAAGTAAAATACACAAGCACTCTTAGCAAAAGCAACCTTTAATAGGAGGAAAAAAAGGTTGGTGGGGCAGTCCTTTTAAAGTCTCTTTGCTCCAGAAGTTATAAGGATGAAGGATGGGCTCCTGGAAGGAAATTTCAAAGTTGCACCAGGTCCACACCTCAGCAAAAGAGCCTCTCCAGATGTGGAGTCACTGTCTAGGAGTCCACCATGACAGTAGCAGCAGCAGCTCATACTACTCCCCAAACTTCCTCAAAGGCAGTAGTAATTTTAGCACATGTCAGGGCAGCAGAGAGGGGGTAGTTGCTGATGGAGACCATCTTTTCTGTATAGTCAACACTGACCTAGAGGAAGGAAAAAACAAAAATAATAAGCTGCAAGTTTTCACTTAGCCCCATCTATTTTCAGTGGTTGGGGAGGCATGATATTTCTCCAAGGTTGAATACAGCCACAATTAAATACAGCAGGACAGCTGCTAGCCCTCACTAGTGCCCTCTCTCAGGAGGGAGAAAAGTCCCAAGTGTGGCAATGTTGGGGCCTGTTTTTGACAGGCCTACCTGGGGGGAAACAAAAGGGGGTGGGACAGGGGAACCAAGCAAAAAAAAGGAGCAGAAAGAAAACAAAAACAAAAAACCCCACATGCCAAGAACAAGACTGAAACCTATGCCGATAAAAATTTTTACAACTCTAAGTAAGGGATAAGTGCACTTACCGAACCGTGGGCAAAAGCTCCCACAACAATGGCAACTGGCTCCGCTGCAGGAACCAGTTGACGCAGATCTGACACCTTTGGAACTGCAAAAGAGGTACCTATCTTCATACAGCCCACAGGGAGATGATCACTGACTGGGTTTTTAATCACCTGTAGAAAGTTAATAGGGGCATAGAAGTAAGAGACCCTGCCACATAGCTAAATCCATGGTTTTGCACACACAAAATAACCCCCAAAACAATCAAAAAAATCCCACCAAACTAAACCCACTCCTACATCACTAGCTGCAGAGGAGGAATGTTGCGATGTTACCTGCGAACAGTTAAAGAATGTTTACCTTCAACAACTTCTGAGGCCCATCAGCCGCTCGAACACTGAGCTTATGCAGCAGCTGAACTGACAAGAGAAGAAAATCAGTTAAGCTATCCATTCTTTTGCCAGAGGAATCCTATCCTCTACCTAGTAATCACAGCTACAGTAGACAAAAAGTCTGTCTTTAGAGTTCCCAGCATCTTTTAAAGCGGCCCTAAGAAATACTGATGGGTGAGTTATTTTACTGCTAGCACAGCCTCATGCAGACACTCCCCGCTGTGCTAAGGAGCACATAGTTGGACTATGCATCCTGGAAATCACAAAAAGACACTTTGATTTCTCTGCACTTTGTTCACTTTCATATTTTTAAGGTTGGTGCAACTTTTTGACTCTTCCCAAAATTCTTCACTCCTAACCACCTTCCTGCAGTATTTTGTGGCTGGTATAAAGTTTGAATCACTTACCCATAAGACCACAGAATCGATCAAAAGTTCTTGGGATTCTGGTTTGGGGATTGACTTCAATTAGAACATTCTTCTGGGTATGGATATAAACCTGCAGGAGACCAGCCCTATTCAGGGGGCTGTCCATGAGCATCAGGAGACTCTGAAATAGAAAAACACACAGTAGTGGAAAAAGTTGCAAGAAAGAGGACTCTTGGAAAACTTGAGGGTCAGGCCCCACAAATGCAGAAGGGACCAATGTTGAGGCAGAGAGGAGTTATGTGGCAACACAAGCTCTACTGTGATGCTGACAGAAAGCAATCCCACAACCAAATAAAGAGAATTACTCAATTCACAAGCCACGAAC